TCTCTCTCTCTCTCTCTCTCTCTCTCTCTCTCTCTCTCTCTCTCTCTCTCTCTCTCTCTCTCTCTCTCTCTCTCTCTCACGCGCGCGCACGCGTATCCTCACGGAACTGGAAGACTGAGCGGTGGAGGATGGAGGAGGTCCGGAGGAGAGAAGAAGAAGAAGAGTCCTCCCTCTATCTCTCTCTCTGCTGGTACCAGATACTGCCCGTGTAAAGGTATTGCCTTGACATCGGTACTGGAGTGCTGAAGACGAAGCTGGAGCTATGGCGGCCCAGGTGAGTCATCAGGTAAGTCCCAGTGTCTGGCTTCCGCCTCTCTCCTGCTGCAGTCTCCACTACAGCCTCCACACTCGCCACCTCCAACCTACCGCTACTGCACCCAGCAATGAAGACTAACACAGCATAACGCACTCACCTACCGAGTGAGAGGCAGACCAGTCTATAAATACTACTGGTCGGGCCTCTCCTAGGTCGTACTGGCCTGAACGTAAGGCCCAGAATGAATGGCCTGGGAAACAATCTGGTCATACACTTGGACCGAATCTGGGAAGAAAAAGGAGGCCAGGGCCTGAACCGTTACCGGTACCAGGGCTTGGCGAGGCCGAACCTGGTGTGGGCCTAAAACGGCCCTTTTTCTGGCCTGAACCGACACAGGCCCTACTTGGGGCCACAAAACTAATGTGCCAGACCGAAGCTAAGTCCCTACCCCTCCTACCGACCTGACGGGTCCTACTGGGCCCGTCTGGGATCTACATATGCCACACCCCCCCCTCCTTGAAAGACCGAGTCTACCAACGAGGCCGGAGCTCTCGATATGAGGGAGGGACTGTGGTCTGGGTGGGACGTTTAGGTTGCTGATGTGAAGCTTCGGTAGCCAAGCGTCGGAGCTCGTACTCGGCGTAGATGTCTGGTGCAGCAGTCTTCAAAGCATCCCGCGAAATCCACTGTGTGTCGCCGCAGTCACATTGTCCGAATGTGCGTCGGCTTGTTGCCGTAGTGGTGGTGTGCGACGACCCACTCAACCTCTTGGTGGCCATCCATTGAAGGAGGGTCCGGCGGTCGTCGATCTGGAAAATTGTCACTCTTGGTTGGCGTATAGGTTGCTAGCTTCGAGGCGTGAAAGACGGGATGGACCGGCAGATGAGGCGGAATAGGCATGAAAGACGGGATGGACCGGCAGATGAGGCGGAATAGGCATGAAAGACGGGATGGACCGGCAGATGAGGCGGAATGTCTATCGCAACAGACGGGCCGTCGGGTTGATCGCCAGCTGTGAACTAAACGAGCCAAGGCCCAAACCATTTAGGGAGGAGCTTGCGAGAGACATCACGTTCCAGCGCAAACTCCTCAGAGGAGACCCAGACCAGGTCGCCTTCACGGATGGGACAAGGCACATGACGCCGGTTCGCTTGCTGCTGCATGCGGACCTGAGTCTTTTGCATGGTTGCGCGAGCTTTGGCCAGCAGCTCCCGCATCTTCCGAATGGAGGCAGGTGTGCAAGGGGCGTCGATGTCAATGGCCTGCGGAAGCGAAGGTGAAGCTCAAATGGGTTGCCGCCAATCGCCGGATGCAACGAAGTGTTGTAGGCGAACTCGGTGTCGGGATTACGCTTGCATCTTCATCTCCAACGCTGCCGCTGCACCTAGAAGGCCCCTCAAGGGGTCACCGGTGGGTTGAGGAGTACATCTGGTAGAATTGGGCTTGGCAGCTGAAGTGGGACAGGGCTCGGAAGCTTTGCATTGCCCTTCACGCATCCGAGCTAGGCTTGGATGAGCGCCCATAGCCAGATGTCATACCAAGGACGAAGGGAGGTGTAGGAGTTCAAAGGAGGGCTCTTTATGTTGCTGGCACTAAGGGGGAGCAATCAGACATTTGATTTTGACCCTCTCATTCATTGTTTTTAAAAAAAGGGAACAGAGCAGAAATACACAATTGCAGACCAATCTCAGTGCTCAATGTCTCTTACAATGGCCAGACGTCTGGGACGCAATTACAAAAAAATAATGGCCAGACGTCTGGGACGTTACCTGCCTGACTTAGTTCTATCAGACCAAGCCGCCTTGGTCACAGGAAGATCTATATTTTCTAACATTTTTTTTCTTTTTTTTTTCTTTTTTCTTTTTTTTTTTAACTGCAGTTGAAACTCTAGAAATTGTCCATGACGAAGATCTGAACTTTGCTATCCTACTGTTAGACCTACAAAAACACTATGATAGGGTGAATCGGTCCTACGTGCTCACAACATTCAAAGTTATGGGGTTAAGCGAATCCTTTTGTAAATGGGTTGTCGCCATGTACACGATGTCTACGGCAGCAGTTATAGTTAATGGAAGGTTGTCCAACGAATTTTCTTTAACCAGGTCCCTGAGACAGGGTTGCCCACTCCTATTTGCCATTCAAATGGCGGGCTTGTTGAATAACATTAGGAGCCATCCGCACATACATTCAAGGTTTCCCGACCGGCCCCACATACTACAAAGTCAAAGCGTTAGCCGACGATCTTTTCGCTGCGGTTGAGAACAGTCCCGAATCATTGGGAGCTTTGAAAGCTTGTCTGAATCAATACGCCGCTCTGTCAGACGCTTCGGTTAACTGGCACAAATCAGTGTTTTTTCTTCCGTCCTCGTTCAACATGTCTGTGGAATGGGGGATGAAGAGAATCACTGAAACCCAGTCTGCACGTTTTCTTTGTGTACAGATTTTCGTTACTGTCTTGTGAGGCTGATCAAGATGACCTGCTACTTCAGAAATCCCTACATAGAATCGTGACCTGGGGCAAAGCAACCCACGTCTCCCTATTTGGTAGATGTATGATCATCAATGTTGCTTTATTTGCTTTGCTTTGCTTAGTAGGGACTGTGAGAGAGTTTGGTAAACAGCTCTTTAATTTGATAATAAAGAGAAGGGACGCAATGTTTTTGTGGAAACCTTACGCAGGTGACTATGGTTCCTTCCTATCGAAGGTCGCATGGGAAACACTGTGCCTACCACGTGATCAAGGGGGCTTAGGGCTCCTTGATCCCAAACGCCAAAATGCAGCCATGGTAATTATGTTAATTAAATGGATCCTAAATGCGGCTAGGGACCATCCAGAACTGCATTGGATTCTATTGGCAGAACAAATCTTGGCGAAGGAATGGAATCTGAGTCGTCCAACTG